CAATTTTTTTTATAGCTTTACTTAAAAATATGTCTTCACAACACCCTAAAGTGTTTATAGTATTATTACGAATATACGAATCAAAATTATAAAAACCTTAAAAATATACGTACTGAATTGCTATGAGATATAATTGTTTTATTATATCGAGCGTTATTTGTGAGCACATAACTATATGATAATAATCTTACTACAACAACTAATATATGTAAATATAACTCTACAAAGTGAAGGATTGGACAAGTCTCAACTTAATAAATTACTATATATTAACATTTCAGGAGTTGAATAAAATAACAAATTAAAGATGATTCAAGTTCATTTTTTAATTGAATTTATTCTTTCATATCAATTATTGGGGCCTAGAATTGATCCTCCCCAATTTTAAAATGCTCCAATTGGGTGTAAATCATCTAATTATCTATTTAGATTTGTTTCCTAAATTATTGCATTTGAATTTTATGTCTATCCGAAACATTAACCCCATCACCAGTATTTTAGACTATATTGTCAAAAATAAAATAAAAAACATTACGTAAACATGAGTCCACTTGGAAGATATTGCAAACATCATAAATATGGTCAAATAATTTTATCTTTTTTTTTCTATTGTTGCCTCTTTCATGGAGAATATTTTTTTGTTATTAGTATAATTTTTAGAGTTTTAGAATAGATTCTTGCTCTATTCCTTATTTGTCCATTAAGTGCGAAATATGTGAAGTTTGTCTATATGCTACAAAGAACAAATCAACAAATCATTCCACTATCACTCTGATGAATCATTTTCCACCTATAATTTTTAGAATTTTGTAATAATTTCTTGCCTTATTCCTTATTTGTTTATTAAGTGCGTTTTCCGCTGAAAATGATATAATGCTGAGTTGGATATGATAATAAGATTATTAAAAGTGTAATTTGATTATGAAAGCTTAAGAAAAACTTTATTCTAAGAGCAATAAATGAAAAAACAGACAAAACCTATATGACCCCTTTTTTTCCCACACTACCTTCACCTATATGACTAGCTAGATGTATAATTTATAGTTAAAATACAAATGATGATAAATAATTATGCTAAAATACACACTAACTGTCATAATCTTCAACTTGAATTATCCATCAAAGGGGTCAAAATCCTTAGATTTTCTTCTATCTTTAATCAGATTTTATTTTGGTTATCTTTTTTTAATTTCAGGGCATAATCTTTGTAACGAATCATTTATATGATGACATAGACATTAATTGGATATTAGCAAATAGCAAGATGCCTATGTAAGAATGAAATTAAAAATTTCCTAATTTTGTATGTGACATTGATTTAATTATTTAAATAATAATTAACCAAGAATAATTCACTAAAATCATACCTGGAATGTACGTCAGGACTAGTAAATGAGTATAGACGTATTTATAAACAAGAATATTCAATAACTAATCACTTCCCACTTCCCTTTAACATTATTAAATAAAAAATATTTTTAAAAAACAAAAAAAGAACATGTTGGTCTTATATTAGATACGAATTCAGTAACTTTTGCTTAGATATTATATTTGTCTTGGTCATTTACCATTTAATTGAGTCAAATTAATTAATTTTAATCGTGGATCAAATCAAGACGTATAATTTGGACTAAGACTAATGTTTTGTTATGTCCTTTATGTTTGTTACTCCAGAACATGAAACATTACATATGTTCAATGTACTTACATCAAATTAATTAGCCACTATGTGTTGTCGTTAATTATGTTCTAATCAGACTTGATTAACCATCTGAATATTAATTATGTTCTAATCAGACTTGATTAACCATCTGAATATTAGGACCTATAAATGTTTATCAAATTCTTCTATTGACAGAGACTAATTAAGAAATAAATTTGTGGTGGTTATGGAGGAACTAAAAGCAACAATGAAGTTACATCATTTTCATCACTAACAAACAGAAACAAGTAGTTGAAAATAATAAATTCAAGATGGGCCAAGGGATTCACATTAATAATTCTACATGCTATTCTTAGAATTTGGTCTTGATTCACACATGATACACACCTGCAACGCACGTGATTGTCAGATACTGATAAATAAAAAGTAGGTCAAGAGATTATTCAAAACGATAAATACGTAATACATTTATTTATAATTACTAACATACGTTGGTGGGTTGGGTGGGTGTTAGTTAAGAGCATCATTCCTAAAAATAAATCTTATAAGGCGTGAATTTGAATTTATAAGTCAGAGACACCAATATTAATATCGATACCAAATGCAAAACAAAATAAAAGAGAAAGAAAGAGACTCATAGATAGTGATTATAGCACATTTATGTTGAAGTCCACAAAACCTAACTTAGTTGGTATTTTGGAAAGAGCCATATCTAATTGTATCCACTTACGCCTATAACAAGTTCTTTTTTTATTTTTATAAATATTATATATATATATAGAGAGAGAGAGAGAGAGAAGAAAACTCAAAGTGCTCTTAGGTTTTGGTCAATATACTTTAGGCAACTCATGAAATTTGGAAAATCTTTTAGTGAATTTTTTTTAGGTCTCTTGTTTGTTTTTAGTTTGGTTTGGGGTGGGTGGGGGGAGGGGTTAATTAACTATATATATATATATATATATATATATATATATATATATATATTGATACTGTAAATATTTTATATAAATTATAATCATGTCTTTATATAAAAAGTAAATTTTGTAATCTTGAAATTACGTTATTACTTTCATAATATTATAAAAAAGAAATACGTTATTACTGATAAATTGCCTACATCGAGTGAAATTAATTTCATAGTGTAAAAATTATTTATTATATCATTATATATTATATATAAGTTAAACTTTTGAATGGATAGTATACGAGCTTTATTATAACAAAAGTACGGCTTAGAAGGTAGGACACGTTAATAATTAAGTAGTCAAAGTATGTATACATTAATTATTATACATATACTATATATCTCAACAAGTGGACCTAATTATTGTCACAAATATTGCAGTTGGTCAATTATTTGAAATTTAACCATAGCAACTATTGAAGACGTAGACTCAATCTAAGACGTACTCAACAAGTTCTTCCTCTACTGTTCATACATAACTACTTCTTTTTTTTTTGGTTGTTGATAATTATGGTGTTACGAGAGGAAATCGTATAGTATTTTTTATCGCCAAAATTTGAACCTAACACTATTAATCGTTCTTCTCCCACTTCATTATTTTCGGACAATATTTAGTAAAATGGATATTTTGAAGTATTTATATATAGGATATACCAACATGCAATCATAATTGAGGTATAGTGGTAAATATTTATTCATCTTTAATTAGAAATTTTGGATTAGAACCTTAAGTATGATATTGTATTTGTACTTAAAAGAGCCATTTAGCCCTAAAAACTTTTCGACATAAATTTAAATTTAATCGAATTACAACGTAAATAACGTATATCAGGTGAGAAATAATAATAGTATATAAACTTCAGTACTGATGCATAGGTGCAAGTAATATTGCATAACAATATATTAAATTTGTAAAATTTGATCTTTTCATCATATGAACATGGTAGCCATCCATCCACCAATAGGAATGCAACAAAGCTAAACAATTCTGTTTAATTGAGTCTTTTCGTAATTATTTTTTAACTTAATTAGTTGCAATATTTAAAGCAATAATTAGGTACCACTAGCTTCTAATTTTTAACCTGATTAAGCAATTAAATTAGTAAGACAGATCCATAATCAATGCTTAGATTTCCTTCGTGTGTTTTATAGCTTTATTAATTCAATCCATATGTTGATCAATCATCATTAACTTAATATTACTTCCTTCAGTTCAGGGAAGATAGACACTAATCAATTAGTATTAATTAATTTATTAAATGGAGGTCTAATTTCTTACTATTAATTAGTTGCAAACTGCAGTGCAAATACTATAATGCAACTCTAGGCTATATTATTATTGCCTAGCACCAAGGTCCTCAATATTTTATTAATATACTACCTTATGAACATCATTTAGACAAAAAAATTATGATAAGGAAACCATGGTCGTTAGCCTTTGCGCGTATATATAGAAGAGGTAAATAATATTGGATAAGGCTTATACCGTTATACAACAAGCTCAATAAAAGAACATGTATATTATTTTGAACTTGAGAGTTGACACCCCTCATTTGAAAGATTCCTTGCTCAACTATTTTAGCTATCCTTGCGAATGCATCATTTAGATTTTAGACAAGTTGAATTTTTGGTAATTAATTTACATATTGTTGTGATGGTATAGTTATATATTACTCCAATCGTTTTTAATATTTCCCATTGTTCATAATAAATGGAGACTTCCTAAACTTTTATTAAGTCATCTACATAATATAAAAAATGTTATTGCAGAGAACGATTCAACAACTAATAGGTTAAAATACAAACTATGAGTTCCAATCAAATTAGATAACCTTTTTAGTTTTTGTTCATCTTTCAATTATATATAATAAGAAGAATAACTTGTAAATCAGCACCAAATTACTTATTATTATTTTTACAAAAAACAACTACTACAGAGAAATCTAACTGTATTATAGAAATAGTCTCGAGTTCAAGCTAGCGTGTAGATACAAAGTCATCTTTATCAACAAATTTTAATAATTTAATTGATAGACTATTTAAATTTTCACCTTATTGATACGGATTTGATTCACCGAAAAAACAAACGAACGGACCCGTCGACCAGTCCTTCCGCCCACGTGAAGGTTTCCTTGTATATGTCCCACGCAAAGATCCTCCGTATCCTTAATGGGCCCCATTAAAACCCGGGCCCATCAAAGTTCACTCGTGTCAGGCATCATCCTCGCACGTGACTATTCTCTTCCCATCTTCACTTTCCTCTCTTCTCTATTTTTTTGTCCTATAAATACCCATCTTGTATCTCACATCTTAGACAATATCTCAAATTAACTCATAAACTTTACTATAAACTTTTTTTTTTCTTTTTAGCAAATATGAACATTTCTTACACCTTCAAATATCTTTTGACGTTATTAATGATTTGCTCTTAAGAAAAAAAAAAAGGATTTTTGAGAATCTTTTGCATGTTTTTGATTTTGGTAAATCTTTAAAGTGTAGTCTGTCTTACGTTAGTCCCACGCTTCTGCTGACGATCCTGGTACTTCTCTTCCTGCCACAAGATTTTGTTCCTTTTTTCCAAAGTCGTGGTATTTTAAATTTTGAATCCGCCTTTATATACGAACAAGTTCCTCCTTCCTCTTTACAATTTTTAGTTTCACTATGGCTACGAAATTATTGTTAACGTTAGCGATATGTCGCTTAATTGTTATCGTGGGATTTACTTTTAACCCGAATGACCTTTTACTGCTCGGGCTCAATGGGAAACTCAGCGTGGCTCCAGCCGATTTACAATCCGCTTCGGTGGATTTCGGCGGAGTGTATAGAGCCGAGCCGATGGCGGTTCTTCACCCGGCTACATCCGAGGATGTAGCGCGGTTAGTGAAGGCCGCGTACGACTCGGCTCGTGGGTTCACCGTGTCGGCTAGAGGTCATGGACATTCTATAAATGGTCAAGCCATGACGACAAATGGCGTTGTGGTTCAAATGAGCGGCGGTGGCGGCTCGAAAAATAAGATGTTAACTATTTCGGAGAAATTCATGTACGCTGACGTTTGGGGTGGAGAGTTATGGATTGATGTGTTGACGTCCACATTAGAATACGGTCTCGCACCAAAATCATGGACTGATTATTTGTACTTAACTGTGGGTGGTACACTCTCTAATGCTGGAATTAGTGGTCAAGCTTTTAATCATGGCCCTCAAATTAGCAATGTCCATGAACTCGATGTTGTTACAGGTATGATTAATTTTTTTTATACTGTCAGTGTATATATCTTACGAAAAAAAGTTCATTTTTCGTAATAGCTTTTGTTATGAAATAAAGTGGTTTGCCAGATATGTAACTTTAGAACAATAACATGGGATGTTAGGATAGATGGGTTTTTTTTTTTCCCAACAATACCTTTTGTGTTAATTTTGAACCCTTTTTAATACTATATTTTTTCAGAATATGTTTAGTTTAGACTTTAGATATATGTACTTCATGAAATTGTGGATGTACTACCACATGGTGTGTTTTGTTTTTAAGCTTAACTACTTATAGGGTATAATCATTGTAATTAGCAAGTACCAATAATTATGTTAAAATCATTGTCATAATTATTGGGATAAAATTGGAAACAAATTAGTTTATGATTAGTACCATTTTATCATAATTGATGTGACATGTGTTTGAAAACAGGTAAGGGTGAGCTATTGACATGTTCAGAAAAAGAAAATTCTGAGCTGTTTCAAGCCGTTCTCGGTGGATTAGGACAATTTGGGATCATAACAAGAGCAAGAATTGCACTTGAACAAGCTCCTCAAAGGGTATATACATATATTTTTTTCTACCAATATGTTATACTAAGTAAAGCTCCTCGAACAACATCTCACTCTTTTCGAACGAAATATGCTACTTGTGAAATTATACTAAATAATATATTGTTATTGTTATACTTTCCATGGTGGGGCTTTAATTTTCTTCTTCTTAGTATTAGTTTTTGGACAAGACACGAAATGAGGTGGCATAATTCATGACATATGAGAAATGAAATATGGGTCCTTTGTTTGTAGCTTTTTCCAACTTCATTTTAAAAACCGTTGTTTTTAAGGCACTGTTAATGTTGACATCACATTTAATTTTCACAAAGTGATGTTGTCATAATTTTTATTTAGTGAATTACGCTTGACTATAATAGGCTTATAGTCAACGTAATTTTTTTATCAAATACATGACAAATCCTCATAAATTGTTGTATCAAATAAACTATTTTAGTTTTATAGGTTACTATTCAACTCTGCTTTTGTTAGTATGTAGAAGCTAAACTCATTTATTTAATGTGTACGCAGGTGAGGTGGATTCGAGTACTATATTCCAATTTTTCAACATTTACACAAGACCAAGAATATTTAATATCATTGCATGGAAAACCAGCTTCACAAAAATTTGATTATGTTGAAGGATTTGTTATAGTTGATGAAGGTTTGATAAATAATTGGAGGTCTTCTTTTTTCTCACCAAGTAACCCTGTGAAAGTTTCTTCTCTTAAGGCTGAAGGAGGTGTTTTATATTGCTTGGAAATTACCAAAAATTATCACCTTTCAAATGCTGATACCATTGATCAGGTTTGTTCCCACTATATTCTATTGAAAATTATAATAACACCGACAACATACTCTGTATAATTTCACAAAAAATGAAATCTACGGAGGGTAAGACATAAGCAGATCTTATCCCTACCGACAGTATAAGATTAGGATTATATAATCTGTCTTATTTTTAAGATTATAAATTTCACATAAGTGACCAAATAGTTAAAATATTTTATGCTCATATAACTTAAGCTTGATTAAAATATTATGCATATTATGCATATTTTGGTTAAATATATTATATTGTTGCTACATCATTATTATGTTTTCTTGATAGATTACTTAAGTAAAAAAAGTGTCTTTTTTTTTTAGTTTAATTAGTTTCTTGATTCCTTCACACATGATGCACACTATTGCTAATTTGAAATTAAAAGATGGATAAAGTTGATGATCTATCGATGCTATATAAACTTTAGCTTTAATTAGCTCTCTGATTAATGCATGTTTAGTGCGAATAAAGCCTGTAAAGTATACAATTAGTATTTTTGCTAATAGGTGGCGATACTATGCCTTAGAGTCCTATTTTTCTTCTTTTATTTTACCTACTCAATCTTCTTAGATATTGATAACCTATACAAAATTACTTTATTTTGTGTCTGATTATCGATATACATTATTCCCAAAAATCATTTCATACTAAAATAATAGGCAGGAGATAACTAATCTTATGAAATATCATTATATATTCCATGTCAATAGCCAAACGACTTGGACTAATTAGTTAATCTAATTTTAGATTAGCAAGACTAAGAAATGTGGTATGCTATTTAATTAATTTCTGACATTAGAAAAATAAGAACATTCTACCAAGCTTATCTGTCGTTATTCCTGTTTGGTACATATCCAAAACAATTTTTTTAAAGCAAAATATTTTTTAAAGTATAATTATTTTATTTAATGACAGAATTTTACGTAAAAAGATGGAACACAACATGCACAAGAAAACATGGAAGATCTTCCATAATCTATCAGATCCTAAGATAGAAATTATTTTTCTAAAAAAATATTACTATTATATTTTATTATAATATATGATTATTTAATTATATCTAAGCCATCCAGTGACCACCCACCAATATTTATTCCCTAAGTCTAATAATTCTGTTAATTTTTTGAATTTTTAATTAGAGTTTATATTAAAATAAAGATAAAAAGTTCGTTTTTTTGTACTTTGATTTTATTATTTAATCTTATATTTTTTTAATGAAAATGCAGGAGATTGAAATATTATTGAAAAAATTAAATTATATACCAGCTTCAGAGTTCACAACGGACCTTCCTTACGTGGATTTTTTGGACCGGGTTCACAAGGCCGAGTTAAAACTCCGGTCTAAAGGTTTATGGGAAGTGCCACATCCATGGCTAAACTTATTTGTACCAAAATCAAGAATTGCTGAGTTTGATAAAGGAGTATTTAAGGGCATTTTGGGAAACAAAACTAGTGGTCCAATACTCATATACCCTATGAACAAAAACAAGTAAGTTCTCATCCCTTGTAAATTTACTTTTATACCCTTGACTTTGATTCATAATTTTTAATTTATAAGTATTGAATATTAAAAAGGACAATTTAGCGAATTCTGAATGAGTTAAGTAGATGTTTAATATATATAAATATGAAATTTGACCAAAACTACTCAGTTCTGTCACATTCGTAACTAGTATAAAGCATGTGTGGTTGTTCGTTCATATAGGTAATCTTTTGCAACATGTTAAAATATGATGATAGTAAAACACAATATACTAGTTAAATCCAATAATATTATGTATGTTCTTCTCTTCTGATTGAATTGTATAACTATATCATCTAAAAACTTAATCTGTTCGGAAAAAAACACTCAATTATTTACTAATATATATGTCGACATGATATATTTGTACAGTCATCTACCTCTGTCTGTTTCTTACGTTGATTGTCCTTGCATGCATGCAACAAAACACTATATGTATATGATTTATGTATATTGAATATGAATATACTATATGCTTTGTTGTGCCATTAATTTACTCATCATCATACATGACACAAACTTTTGTAGAACTAGTGATATGTCTATGTCATGTCATGGAATACTACTCACAAATTTGGATTATATGTTCATCAGACATCTCACCCAATTTTCTCAATTTTATCGTAAATTACGAAATACGTAAAAAAATCAATTTTTCAACAAACATTTGTATAGTATATGGTCCATTTGTTAATAATGGTCCCTAGCTACCTTTCTAAATAGCTTAAAAGTGATCCCTCAGTGTCTACTTTTCGTGCAGAGTTTTTGCTGTAATTTTGTTTTGTCCTAGCTACCAAACAAACAGTAAAATAATTTTTTTTTGTCTAGTAAATAGCAATGAACCAATATAGGAATAAAGACAAAGTCAATAAAGTAGGGATCGAGTTGAGAATATAATTGACGTGTTGAGTTGGAGTTATATTATATATGAATTATTAAGTTAAAATAGTTCAAAAATACGTTTAATAATATATGATATTGTCTGCTTTGAACATTACTCTCAAAGAAAAATGTACCAAAAACCTTGACCCTCTAAATATAGGGGTGGAGCTAGGTTTAGAGGGTCATTCGAGTTTTCTTTGATAGAACATATATCACTAATTTATGTATACATAATAGGTGTTAAACTCCTTCGTTTATTCGTATATTTACTTTTTATATTTATAATCTTTTAAAGAAAAATTTTGACTCCACGACTGTCTACGGATCCTACTCCAATGCTTTGTGGTCAGTGGTTTATTTCTGTTGTCGTATGATAAGTGGCATGTCCACCTAAACACGTGGCACACATGCATGATTTTCCAGCTAGGATAATTAGAACTTTTTTTTAATTTTCAAATAAATCCAATAATAATTAGAAATGGTCCAAATTAAACATTCAAGATCTTGTCAGGAAAATCTTCCTTAAGGGGACCAATTTTATTTGGTTTATGTAACAGTTACTACTTCCTAACCTCATTAAAAAACAATTCACGAATATTCGAAAATCATCTTCTAGTACCATATAGTCCAATTAATACGACAAAGTTATTCATTTTTAAAAAAGAATTATCGCTTACGAAAAATCATGTGTATTTCAGATGGGACGATAGGAGTTCGGTAGTTACACCAGAAGAAGATGTGTTTTACTTGGTCGCGTTTTTGAGGTCTGCATTGGAGAATGGTGATGAGACACAAACATTGGATTACCTAAGTAATCAAAATTATGAAATATTGAAGTTTTGTGAAGATGAAAAGATCAATGTGAAACAATATTTGCCTCATTATGACAATCAAAGAGAATGGAGGGACCATTTTGGAGAAAAATATTGGACAAGATTTCAACAAAGAAAATTAGAGTTTGATCCAAGGCATATATTAGCAACCGGCCAAAAGATTTTTATGCCTTCTTTTAATCCTAATACTGCTACTTGGTGACGTTTGATTATGTATTAATTAATTAATTGGTATAGTTATTAATTAGGATTTAGGATTAGTTGAGATCAGAATTAGTTAGCAGTAGATTTGATAGGATCATGTTTAGTGTATTTTATGTACATATCAAGTTGGAAAAAAGAGCAAAAATTATTAATTCACTTAATTATTTAGTAAAGAAGAAATCTTCGTCCCAATGATTGGGTTTCGAGTTTAATCTATGTTCTTTCTTTCTTTTTTTTCTACGCAAAGATGTTTGATATTTGCTTTGTGGTTTGACGACTAATTTTAATTTGTATAATAGATTCCACTTTCAAAGGTAATACGTTTTCTATAATAAATTTATATAAATATCGCGTGCGTAAATATATTTACTTATATTAGGAATTCGTAATTTCTTCGTTTTTTTTTTCTCTTTGTAAAAGTGTAGTACGGTTGAGGAGTGGTTGGTACCAAAATTTTGTCATTTTGCACACAAAAAGTTTGCATTATTTGGCAGGGCATCATATTTTCTTCATGAATATGACGTATCAATTAAGAGGTCATCTTCAAGAATATTTCACAAAAAATTATAATAAAAGAAGAAAAAGACTTGTGTTCTCACAAAAAATAATAATTAGAGAAGCTTTGCATTTGCAAATTAGAATTATTGTTAAGAGAATACTATTTTTAAAAAAATTAGTGTTAAGAGAATACTATTAAAGCGAGATTGGGAACACTTTTGAAAAACTCTCTCGGGTTATCCCTTTTCCGAGATAATTGTTTAGTAAATGATTCTTTGTTTTTTAAAAAAAAAGAATTATAGAACTTTTAGATAGCGTCACAGATTTGTGTATATCAATCACCATTTCTGCAGTAGATCAGTGCGTATTTTGCTTCTTGGGCTGGACCCAATTTTCTGTTAATCGCTGCGGTTGGCCCAATACGTATTGGGCTTCCTTTATAAATGGGCTCATTTTCTCGATATGCTTTGTGGATGAGCCCATATTAACGGGTTTGCTATCTAATTTTATGAAGGGAAAATTACGTGAGTTGGCAAACATCCCTAAGTAATTAGTTAATAAGGGTATAGTTTAATTTATTTACTGTCAGTAAATATAGTTTCAGTTTTTTTTGTCATAATTAATGGAACCCACCACCTCTTTGTATACTGAATCAACAAAGACCTTCTTACGCTTTTGTATATAATTTTATACATAATCAATTTTATCTCTTGTATCCACATTCTATATCTTTCTCTTAAAATCACTCTTCCACTTCTAATTTGAATTTCGAATTGAGTAAATTTCACCTTCTCCCTCCAGTCGTGCTTTCAATTTTCGTAGGTAACCGTCAAAATCATGGGTGAATCCATTTTTTTTCTTTTTTCCTTTTTCAACAATTGTATATGTATTATGCTTGCTAGTTTTTTCATGTTTTTTTTTTAAAAAAAAAACTTTCTTTCTTATCAAATTATAAGTTTTTGAAAATCAAAATGGATGATTCATCTCCATACGAGAGGTATGGTATGTCATTGCATGTCAATGTTGTTGACAATCCACCTTCGTTTTCAATGGGTTTAACTCAGAATTTTGAGGTCAATGTAGGCTCTATGGCAAAATCTAAAAAAGTTTAAGATGAACAATCTATTGAAGAATTGAGATCCAAGAAAAAAAAATGACCCAATGACAATTCAGAAAGTCATCAACAACGCGAAGGTTAGTGGCATTAAAATTGTTGAAGGAGGAAGTAAGAAAAAAGTCATAAACAGTGATTCAGAGAAGAGTGGATCTACTTCATCAGAAATTGACAAATCTGAAGAACATTAGGAACATGATTTGCATGAAGTGTATGTTTATTTTCTGCTTAAATCACATTTTGTATGTTAATATTTGTATATTTTTTAAGTTATATACAATTTTTATTTTAAAGTCTATGTATAATTTCTGCCTAAATCACACTTGTATGTTGATATGTATTTATACAAATTGCTTGAAGTATTTAGGTATATTTTCTGCTTAAATCACATTCGTATATTGATATTTATATATTTTGTTAGTTATAAACAATTTTTGATTTGAAGTTTATGTACAGTTTCTGCCTAAATCACATTTGTATATATTGATTTGTGTTTATACAAATTGCTTGAAGTATATGTATATAGATTTGTATATGAGTTAATATATACAAATATTGCTTGAGGTATTTGTATATTTTGTATATTTAAGTACTATATTCATATACGCATACTCATATACGCATACTCATATACATGTAAATTTATAGTTATATACAAAGAAAATGCAAATACAAATATAGCTTATATATACAAATGTTTTAGTTTCGTATAAAAACATATAATAATATGCAACACTTAACTGAAACATTTTGTATCTTTAATTTTTTTTACAGGGAATTAGATTCATGCGCAAACATCCAATTTTGTATATTGATATTTGTATATTTTGTTAGTTATATACAATTTTTATTTTGAAGTCTATGTATAGGTTCTGCCTAAATCACACTTGTATATTGATATGTATTTATACAAATTGCTTGATGTATATATATATATATATATATATATACACATAAGTAATCGTATAAAATATAAAAAACTACTCGCATTAAAGAACACAATTGTATTCGAATCATATACAATACATATATACAAATCGTATCATTCAACTTTTTTTGGAACAAAAAAATTAGAATAGAATTGTTAATATACGATTTCCCTAATCTTGTATAAACGAATACAAATTTTTGCGAAACATTAGAATCAATAAAACAAAAATTATTCGTTATTCAAATTTTTAATTATATACTATACAAATTAATTGTATACTTTCTTGCCGCTTCAAAACATGAAGTTTCCTTGAAAGAAACGATTACCTGGAGTTGAATATACAAAATTATTGATTAAGGGGATGCTTCAGTCGTTTGAGGAGACAATATGTTATGGACTTTCTATCGTTGTAGAACTCTTTTTTGGAAAAAATATTTGATTTTGGATGTTTAGCTTAAATCATGGGATTATGTAAATTTTCTGTTGCCGTTTTTAGCGCTTATGATTCAATTTATTTAAAAAATAAATATTGTATAAATTTTTAACAAAAAAAAGAACAACTTTCACATATAACAAACACAAAATTCATATTTGTATGTTATAGCAAAGTTTGCATAATTGCGCTACATAACAAACATAAATATGTATATTTCGCTATACATATACAAAAGAAAGCAGTTGTATAATCTGCTTTGGTGTACATATACAAAAAGATCAATTGTATAAAGTGAGAGAGGCGAGTGAGCGGGCAAGATATGGGAGAGTGGCGAGCTAGATCTGGGAGAGGGGGAGAGAGGGGAACAAAAATATATGTATATATACAATTTTCACGCATTTTATACATTTGTGTTTTTGTATAAAGTGAGAGAGGCGAGTGAGAGAGCGAGATCTGGGAGAGTGGCGAGCAAGATCTGGGAGAGTGGTGAGCGAGATCTGGGAGAGGGGAACGAAAATATATGTATATATACAATTTTCTCTCGCTTTATACAAACACAAACGCATTTTATACAATTTGCGTTTTTTGTATAAAGTGAGAGAGGCGAGTGAGAGAGCGAGATTTGGGAGAGGGGAACGAAAATATATGTATATATACAATTTTCTCTCACTTTATACAAACACAAACGCACTTTATACACTTGCGTTTGTATAAAAAATGAGAGAGGCGAGGTAGAGAACGAGAGTGGCGAGCGAGATTCACCAGGAGAGAGGTGAAATAACAACAGTTTGCTATGATGTACAATTAAATCAAACTATATTTATAGCATTTAATTTGAATTAGTAATTTGCTATTATATACAATTTCCCAAAAAAAAAAGCGTTATATACAAAATAAATGCTTAATAGCAAACTAAACTATATCCATGAAAAGTAATTATATAAATTATACCCATAGAGTGATATTTTGAAAAATCTGTTTGCTATAAATGAAATTTTCCCTTTTATGAAATCTGACCTCTTTTTTCTTCTTCATATTTTAGGTCGAATTTCTTTTTGTTTATTATTTGTTTATAAGACCTTATGACTTTTTTTCTTTTGGTCTGAGACCTTATGACTTTGACAAGCCGGTCTATTTCCCTTTTATTCCGTTTAATAGTTGAAAATATATATATTTTTTTTTCGATAACTCCTTAAAATACAAAATCCTAATAAAATAGTTCATACATAATTAGTTTTCAAAAATTTAAGCCCAAATCAATAAATTTCATACGATATAAAGATATGTTGGCATATGCTGTTTTAAGTCTTTTGAAAGAACGCGTTTCATACTCTGGGATGAAATCAATCGATGTTGTGTCCTAATTGTCACTTATTGATTTAAAAAAGATAAATACTAATGAGTTTATAGATTTGAGTGAGCTCTCCATTTCATGGATTGGTGATTTGGACTAAGCTTTTCTGATTAAATATATAATAATTGATATTAAACTAGGTCGAGCAACATCGTAAAACAATAACTCGTAGTGATTTTATAAAATAAGAACCTCATCACGAATAAGATCAAATTTAATTAACCAACCAACTAAATTAACATGTAATTTGAGTTCGTAATTACTTTTTGTATGACATAAAAAGATAAAATGTAAATTAAAATGTGAAATATATGGAATCAAACAAAAATGTCAAATCTAGACCAAATCTTTTTTTCTTTATTCCAAATCTAATGCATCAAAAAATAAAAGATATGTAAAACTTTTTAACATCCAATAAACGAATAAACTTTTTCCAAAATCCCACGTGGACCTTTTGTCACGTGACTCCTCCTACAACATTCTCCACGTGTCCAAATCTAACGGTGAAACTCACGTGACTATCCATCTCACCAGAAAAAACCCCATTGACCCGATTTGATCACTTTCTGTAACAAAATCTCCTTCTTTTTTAATTTACAAAATCACCCAATTACTTTTCATAATTACAAAACAAGCCCCTAAAATTTCTCATCACTTACATTTTATACCCCAATAAATTTTTACTTAAATTAATCCACTCGACGTTAACTCTACGCAGACCAGTTCCTTTTTTCATCTTTTTCTCTTCCTGTAAGAACTCACACCCCATCGACGCCATGACTAGTCCTTCTGCTTCATCTCGCAAGGTTTGTTTTTATGTCTATTTGTTAAAAAAAATTGAATCTTTTATGAATTA